CAATTTAAATCTTATAAACCTATAAGGAAGGCACTTTCATATCATTATTTATTTTTTTTCAAATATTTATTTAGTTGTAGATGTCTATGTGGTGCTGAGGATTGAACCCAGTGCCTCACACATACAAGGCAAGCACTTTACCACTGAGCTACAGCCTCAGCCCCTCCTACCATTTCTTTCCAATGGAAAAACTATCCTCAGAGGTACCCAAAGGCCAAAGAAGGCCAACCTACAAAAGAGAAGCTCAATTCTCCCCATGGGGTACATCAGTTATGGACAACTCAAAGTAAAAGCTGGATCCATAAAAACTAAAGAATGATTGAAAAGTTATAGTACAGGGTTAGTGAAAGAAAGCTCTACAGAGAGCAAAATGGTACAATGAAAGAGGGGCCACTTCATGTCAGAAATAGCAGCTGAGGGGGGATGGTAGAGGATGGGAAAGGCAGCGGAGCACAACAGACACTAGTATGGCAATATGTAAATCAATGGATGTGTAACTGATGTGATTCTGCAATCTGTATATGGGGTGAAGGTGGGAGTTCATAACCCACTTGAATCAAAGTATGGAATATGATATGTCAAGAAATTTGTAATGTTTTGAACAACCAACAATAAAAAATTAAAAAAAAAAAAAAAGAAATAGCAGCTGAGTAACCGCTCTTTGAGTCTTGGTTTTATGTGAAAGAAAATTTAGGTTGAGTATCCCTAATGTGAAAATCAAAACTATTGGGCTGGGGACATAGCTCAGTTGGTAGAATGCTTGCCTCGCATGCACAAGACTGGGTTCAATTCCCAGCACCACCAAAAAAAAAAAAAATGTGGACTCTGACATGATGCCTTAAGTGGAAAATTCCACCCCTGATCTCATGTGACAAGTCACAGTCAAAACACAGGCATACTAATAACATTGCACAAAGTTACGTTAGGCTATGTGTTTAAGATGTATATGAAACCTAAATGGATTTGGTGTTTAGTCTTGGGTCTCATTCCCTAATTAATCTCATTATGTATATGCAAATATTATAAAATTTGAAAAATCTGAAATCTAAAATATGACTGGTCCCAAGCATTTTAGATAAGGGATAGTCAATTCGTACAATATCTATATCAAAGATTATTTTGAGTGTTAGAAAAAGCAAGGTATATAAAACATGCAGCTCATCTTCTTTTCCTTCTTCCACTTCTTTTTTTTTTTTTCTACTTGTAGTGGAGGTCTTCATTTTAACAGAAGGGGTTAGAAAATCAGAGCTGGTTATGATAGAACTTATGGTCAGGGGAGGAGAGCAGCAGTCATTGCTTTTAGTTATAAAGTATTATGCTTTGATATGATGCAAAACTCAGTCTATATTTTATGTCAAAGATGACAGGCCCTTTCAGGTTTCAGCACTCAACCCTGATTTAGGGATATTGGGAAAGAAATATGTGGAATTCCACTTTGGCATTCCCCACAGTGATACTTTCTAATGTTTTCCAACAACTGAAGCCCCTTTTCCTCGCACATCATTTGCTTCACAGGAACTCACAAGATTGAAGCCATATGGGTGCTTGTTCTTAAATTCCTCCACCATCACTTCACAATCTCATGCCAACTAGTTTCTTTTCTTACTTTATCCAAATTAATCCCTTAATCCTCTGCATCTTAGCTTTTTGAAGGAAGTGTTACTGTGTTCATTTGTACAGGTCCAACAGACCAAGCGCAGTGCCATAGATACAGTTTGCATTTAACAAAAGTTGTTGACTAAGTAGGTGAACTAGGGGGTTTCAGTTCAGTGTAATAGTGTTTTCAGAGTCTGAGCAGGAGAATTAGGATGACCAGGTTGAAATGTAGGGTAAAATTTCAAACAATCTCTCTCTCTCTCTCTTCCTCTTCTTCTTTTTTTTTTTTTGGTACTAAAAATTGAACCCAGGAGTGCTTAACCACTGAGCCAGCCACCTCCACAGGCATTTTTATTTTGAGATGGAATCTTCATAAATTGTCTAGGGCCTTTGTAAGTTGCTGAGGCTGGTCTTGAATTTACAATCCTCCTGCCTCAGCCTCCTGAGTCACTGGCATTACAGGTGTGCACCACCACATCTGGCTCAAACAGTCTCTTGAGAATCAAAAAAGAAGCCCTAGAGAGAAGTAAGGCTAGAGTTCAAGCCTGAATGCTATATTAAAAAGAGAACAAAGGGGGATGGGAGTGTGGCTCTGTAGTAGAGCAGTTGCCTAAGAGGCCTTATGTTCAATCTGTTCAATCTCTACCACTGGGTCGGAGGGAGGAACATGATAAAAGAAAACAAAGAAAGAAGCTATTTGTATTAGTTCATTTTTTTGTATCTATAACAAAATACCTGAGATTAGATATTTGACATACTTTATAAAGAAAAGAGATTTGTGTAGCTCACAGCTTTAGAGATTCCAATATGAGGTCCCACTGATTCAGCTTCTAGTAAGACTCCCCTTGGCTACACCATGTCACAGTAGATGGCATTATGGCAGGAACACATGAGAGAAGGAAAAAAAAATCACATGGAAAGACAGGAAGCCAGAGATGAATTCAGGGTGAGGCTTGATCTTTTATAATGAGTCACTTTTAAAAGAACCAGGGTCCCCCTGAGAACTAAGGACAGTGCCTGCAATGACCTCATCAACTCTGTCCCTGACCCATTAGGCTCTACCTCTCAAAGGTTCCACCACCACACTGAAGACCAAGCATCCAACACAAAAATGCATCCAAACTATAACACCATGTCAATCACCTGGTAAATGGGGGTCACCTCGACTGCTGGGGTGAGGCTCTGGAGTACAGACCCACCATCCTGACACTCATGGTTATTACCTGAGAGACTCTAATGCATCATCTTCTCCCTTTATTCCCTCTGCTTTTACATCTGCTTTTGTTTCTATTTTCTTTCTCAGTGTGTTTCACAATCAATACTTTCTGAAGAGAAATGATAAGATTAGGCCAGTTATCCTCTGGTATTGAAGACATTTCTTATAAAGACATCTCAAAATCTTAAGGTCCAGCCCATGATGATTCCTTTAGATTTGACTGTTTATCTAATTAGTGTGTTGAAGGTACATGAACATTAGCAACCAACCAATGTCGAAAGAACAGTGGCTGATTACTTAAGAGAACTGGTGGTCAGCTAGAATTTTACAGTTGCTATACCCGTCAGCCTTATGAACCTATGTGTTGGAATTAAGGTAGGTCTGCCAGATTTAGATTTAGCAAATATAAGGATCTGGAGATAAGCTTGAATTTCAAATGTACTACAAATAATATTGGATGAAATATTTGGGACATAATTATATCAGCTAAGATGGTTCTTGAGCTGTATCTTTATAGCAGGAAAAACAGACTTAGAAATAATGTAGGTGTAGTAGGAACATGTGATGGAAAGAAAGGTAACAAAAGAGTGTCAGAAGTATGGGCAGAAAAGATGAATTACAAAAATGAGTTGGGGACAATTTCTAGAAGCAAGTGGGATTTGAACTGGGCCTTGAGAGGTAGGTAGAATTTTAGTATTTAGGAGACATGACCATTTTTCAGGCAGAGGGAACATCCTAAACAAAAGTATGAATGGTTGACACTGAGCAACACAATGGCTCCAGCTTTAGTGTGTATCCTATTGTACTAGCCAGGGTAGTTGTACCATGGAGACAAATTGTGGCAGCATCTCATCAGGGGTGGAAGATTTATGACTTTATCAAAAAGAGTTCTGGGTAAAGTGAAAGCCAGTCAGCGTTTTAGGGGATGTCAGATTAGGAAAGTCCAAGATCACAGGAGATGAGTTTTCAAGCTATTGTGTGACAATTCTGAGAAGAATGGAGATAAAGTCTTGCATGATGCAAAGGTCACAGATATTTCAAAATAGACCAAGGGGGCCTGGGACCACGGCCTACTATTGTAATCCTAGCAGCTCGGGAGGCTGAGGCAGGAGAATCGCAAGTTCAAAGCCGGACTCAGCAACTTAGCAAGGCCTTAAGCAACTTGGTGAAACCCTGTGTCTAAATAAAATCCCCAAAAGGATTAGGGATATGGCTCATTGGTAAGCACCCATGGGTTCAATTCCCAGAAAAAAAAAAAAAAAAAAAAGGCCAAGTTTAGAAGGGTAAGAATTTATCTACTGAAACCAGGATGAGTTATATAGACAGACTGAGCTTCACTGTATTTTCTACAAAATACTACTTTAAAAACTTGTATCACAATTTGTGAAGGAAAGTTTATGTGTGCAAAATATCTGGTGGATGATCATTACTCAGGAATAGATATTTTCCAAATTTCCTCCTTATTCTTTGTTAGTACAACCTGTGGGGCTTATGGCTCTCAACTGTGCTGTTCGCCATCACTCCTCTTACAAGCTAGCTCTATAAGGATCCTGTGCTTAATCAGGATTTCTGACAGAGCACAGCCCTGGCAGGGGCCTTTGGATACAGTAGGCCCTCAACAAAAACGTGTGAGCAAAGAGGGTGTTAGAAGGAGGTGAACATGAAACCACCTGGGGCACTCCTCAGGTACCCGCGGCTGGCCCAGCTCCCAGGGGGTCTCCAAAGACTTCGCCTGCGTCAAAGCGCAGAGGCCAACTTTCCAACCCTCACAGGAGCAGGGACAATCGCTCCTCCCGCTGGGTGCGACTTCCAACTCAGAGGAGAAATCCCCCTCCTCCAGGCCTTCCTAATTCCTTACCCCCGCTCGGTTGGCCCTTCTTCCTGCCCCTAGGAGCACAGACGCAGTTTTCCAGAAGAGGCCTGGCGGGAGGGGGTGACACAGCGGGGCGGTGCACGTGGTTGAGGGGTGGGCGGGGGGAGGGGAGTCCACTAACTTTGTAATTCAGCCTCCGAGACCCGCGGTGACATTCCTGTAGGCGCCGCGGGCAGGCCAGCTTCTCCTTCCCGGACCTGGGGGCGCCGCTCAGAAAAGCGGTCGCAGTGTGCAGAGTCGCCGCCTGCGCTGGTCCCCCTGGGCTGCCCATCGCGGCCCCGCGCGCACTGGAAGGCGAGAGACCTGTCCTCCAGAATGGGCTACTTCTCGGTGGAGCCGCTCAGCCTCCCAGGCCTGGCGGTGGCGGTGGCGGTAGCTCTGTTACTCTTTGCCCTGTGCCTGCGCTCCAGGCGCATCAGGTAAGCGCCCGGGCCTTTGGGGACACGCATGCGCCTTGGGCCCCGCGGCCCGCGCGCGACCCCGTTGGAGAAGGGAGCCCCCTCCATGATTTCCAGAGTAGACAGAACTTGCTCCCGGCCACTGGCGTTCTTTGGGAGATTGTGTAATAACAAAGGCGTCTTCCCTCTCTTTCTCGTACATAGGCATACGGGTTGAAGCTCTGGGACCGAATTCAATTTGCTGCTCCAGCTTAGGTTGTAATAATCCCAATGTTTGCAGTGTGCGTTGTGCATCGCGAGTGGCTTTCGCACAGGCACATTTTTGTGCCACATTTCTGAATTGCTGCTTTATGGCCTAGAATTCATAGAGCGTTTCTGGAAGGGATTTATTTGTTTGTTTGTTTATTTATTTATTGCATTTCATTCACTTGAAATTAATGTTTCAAGGAAATGTTGGTGGGTGGGAGGGACAATGAAATCTGGGTATCTGTGCCTCGGTTTACCTGAATGTACCTTGTCTGCAAAAATGGAATAGTAGCACTTAACTGATGGGAATTTTTTGAGGAGTAGTTGCGTTAATAGTGTGAATATACCATTGCTGTATTTTTATTAGGACAAGAAAATACCACAGCCTAGAAGTGTGTCATTTCTTTAACTGATTTGAAACAGGGAAGTAGAAAAAAATCATTCACCTGGAATTTATCTTCTTTTTTCCTCTGTCTCCCCCGTCCCTCCATACTAGTACAGTTTTCGTGCTTTTTTATTTTTTATTTTTATTTTTAATGTGGTTCAGGGAATCCAACTCAGGGCCTTGCACATGCTAGGCAAGCCCTCTACCATGAAGCTGCAACCCCAATCCTAGTTTTTGTGACTTTTAAAAACCAAGCAGGTAAGTTTTGGGGGGATGCAATTGATATTTTTAACATACATATTTACAGATATATGTATCAATGTATACAAGTATATGTACATGTGATAGTTTGTTCTCAGCGGTTTTTGGAAAAATGGCACTATTGTACAGGGTATAATTATCCATTGACATTTCTAGAATGGCTGCAGGTGAATACTCCAGATAAGAGTACTTGCTTTTCCTGCCATTCGAATTTTCTGGATATTTCTGGAATGTGCAATACCTTCTCCCAGTGAGAGGCCTCTTTTCCAGTGGCTGTGCTCTTGCTTTAGAGCAAAGGATGATTAGGACACTTTAACTTCAGTGTTATGTGATTCAGTGGAGGTTCCACTTTCTCTATTTGCAGTATAAACCAAAGCCAGTGAAGATATAATTCTAGCTATCTTTTTATTAAAAGAGAAGGTGGTAGACAAGAAGGCTATTTGTTCCACTCCCACTTTACATGCAGGGCAGGAACAGACAAGCTGACTAGGGCGTTCTGGATCATTGATGGTCACTGGGGTAAGAATGTGGAACTTGGGGGAGTAGTTGGGAAGGCAAAAGGGCAGGTAAACTTTCTTTCCAGCATTCTGAAAATAGATTCCTCTTACTCTGCATGGCTAAAAATTATTTTGCTGAGATATTCATGTCACCAGCTGCCAACTTCTTCATACCAGAGAGACTCTATTTAAAAAGTTTGATACACTGCATTTCAGAATATACGTTAGCTCCATTTGACCCAGTACCTAGAGAGTCCTGTTCTTTAGTGCTGCTGTTTCTGGTGTTTGGAAGTTTAATGCTCTCGGAAAATGTCTGAAGTCACTACTAAGAGGGGAGACCATGATTGAGAGTCCCTTATATATTCTTACCAATATTTTTGTGCTTATACTAATATGACTGAATATGTGTTAACAACAAAAGTAGAATATACTCTGTTGCAACTTTTTCTACTTTATGATACATTTTACACACCTTTCTATGTCAGTTTATAAAAATCATTATTTGTAATGATTGTAGAGAGATCAGTCACACACACACACACACAATAATGAATATCTTTGGGCTCATGTGAAAATATTTATGTAGGACTGTGGAGTTGTTATCAAAATGTATATGAGCTTTATATTTTAATAGATGTTGTCAAATTTCCCTAAGTCCCAGTTTATGTTACTTCTAATCATCTATATAAATGTAAACTTCCCTACATGCTATAACTAATAATTTTAATCATTCTAATTTTATCAGTCTCATACTACAGAAGATAAAATTTATCTTTTATCCCAATTTCCCCTTGCTTACTTCCTCAAAAAAGGAAGCTTGGATATCTTTAAAGGATAAGTTCTTTGTTCTTCTATAACTTGTTTTTCTCTTGTGTTCTTCATCTGATCATTAATGATTTTTCACATATTTTCGTACCTGCTACAGTTATTTTTACTATTATAATTCATATTCATTTGAGAATTTCTAGATATACCTTCTTGTTTAGAAAGCACTTTTATATCACAACATGATAAAAAATATTCACCACTGTTTTTCCTTATAATTAAATTACTTTATTTTATTTTATTTATTTGGTGCCAAGGACTGAACCCAGTGGCGCTTAACCACTGAGTAACATCCCCAGCCTTTTAAAAATATTTTACTTGGAGACAGGGTCTCACTGAGTTGCCTAGGCCCTCACTAAGTTGCTGAGGCTAGCTTTGAACTTGCAATACTCCTGCCTCAGCCTCCTGAGCTGCTGGGATTATAGGCATGGGCCACTGTACCCAGCTCATCTACTTACTTTAAAGAGATTTTATATATACATTTTTATTCTCATTCCATTTTTATTATTCAAACAACTATGTGTAAAAAGTATGTAATATAGATAGCATATTATAGGAACGTTGGATGTTCTGATGTAAAAGTTTCAATGTTATATAAAATTAGTAAAATGAAAAACAAAAGGTGAAAACCAGCTCAGAAGGTATTTATTGTCTACCTATCATTGATTCTGACTCTTCTTGCTGAGCATTCTGAGTTCCCTTCCCCCCCCTTCCATCCTTCTTTCCTTTCCATCCTTCCATCCTTCCCTCCTTCCCTCCTTCCCTCCATCTTCACTCGCTCCCTTTCTTCCTAAGACAGGGTCTCACTCTGTTGCCCAGCTTGGTCTGGACTCCTGGGTTTAAGTGACCCTCCCACTTATGCCTTCCTAGTTGCTGGGACCACAGTCACAAACCACCATGCCTAGCCACTTTGATTTTCTTTTGTGCCATTCTTTTCCCCTGTTGAGAAAATGACTGTTAACACTGTCAACCACAGAAGCCACTGTAGTACTTTTCTGGGGAGACATCATCGGGTTGTCACTATGGGGCTGATGGGAAGTGGCTAGAATCAGGATGTAGTTTTGACAGTAGAGTCAACAGGATTTGCTAATGGTGGGTAAGGGAGAGAGAGGAATCAACAATGAAGCTTAAAAGTTTTATTTTTTCAGGTGGGTGAATGGTGATGTCATTTCCTGAGATGGGGAAATTATATATATAATTTTGTCATTCAGCATGGGACAGTTCTTTAAGAATTTTCATCCTTCCATCCTTTGTTTTCTTTTGTTTGTTCTTCACTGAGTATACATATATTTTTTCATATTTGGTTATCTGTGGAAATGTTAGATGAATCCAAACTTCACCATTTCTGGTATACAAATTCTATATCAGACATTCAACGGTGGTTATATGTAGGTAATGTGTTTTTGTGGATTATTTTTCTTTTCTTTTTTATGCTTATAGGCATTTTAATATTTTTTTTTTTTTTAAAGAGAGAGTGAGAGAGAGAGAGAGGGAGAGGATTTTTTTTTAATATATATTTTTTTAGATTTCGGCAGACACAACATCTTTGTTTGTATGTGGTGCTGAGGATCGAACCCGGGCCGCACCCATGCCAGGCGAGCGCGCTACTGCTTGAGCCACATCCCCAGCCCTATAGGCATTTTAAAATCACATCAATATTTTAAAATTGTGTGTGTGATATGTACATTTAGCACCTAGAAAAAGATTAATGTGTCTTAAGGTAAAGGCTTTTCCACCTACATTCACTTTGGGAAATTGCTACTTTCTTAAAGTAATTTCACCTTATTTTTTTAAACATTTCCATCAGTCATATATGAGCTTTTCAGTTGCTTCACATCCTCACCAGTGTTTGATAAGGCTAGTATATCGGCCTGTAAGCATGATCCTTCTAGATTCTGGATCATTGTCTTCCTATGAAGTATTGAATTTTGTTTTGGCATACAGACACATTTCTGTCTGATTATCTTGAACTTGTGAAAGCTTAGTTTTATCCTTTATCAAAGGGAGTCTGTGGAAACTTGAGATACTGACAATGACTGCCTTCTTTGATGGGGCCATGATCTGAATGTTTAGGTCCCTCTAAATCTCATGTTGAAATCTTGCCCCTCACACAAGTGGGGGACCCAGTCAGACAGACACTTCCATAGTCATGCTCCTAAGCAGAGGATCTAACAGAAAAAACAGACATGTGGACACAGGGGGCACCCATCGTTAAGAGTGAGCAATACATGGACAGAGGAGGAGATAAGGAAGGGAGGAAATTCCAGAGACCACAAAAAGAACAGGCCAGAATTGCCCCACTGATTCCTAGTTCTGGGGACCCTTCTCTTCAGAGAAGTCTGTCTCTGTATCTCTGTCTCTTTTCAATAAACCTACTTCTTGCTTGCTAAAAATAAATAAATAATAATTAAAAGAAAAGAAATGTTGCCCCTCGAAGTGATAATATTAGAAGATGAGGGCTTCCTGAGAGCAAAGCAAGAAGGTGGCCACCTGAGAATCAGAAAACAGGCCCTCACCAGATACTGAATCTGCTAGTGCCTTGATCTTGGACTTCCCAGCCTCTAAAACTAGGTCAGAGCTTTCCCTTGTTTGTAAGTCATCCAATTTATGGTATTTTGTTATAGCAACTCAAACCCTGAAATCTGTCTCCCTGGGGATGGATAGCTCATAGCTTGGCCTCCAGGCAAATTCCTTCCTCTGGGTTCTTTGTAATCTTACCTGCAGATGCACTCCTCCAGGGTTGGCCAAGATTTTTTATGAGTGGTGTTCATATGCAAATTTTTTGGTTGTTCCCCTCTTGGTTTAGA